ACAAGGCATCATCACAGTATGGTAAGGGGCGTAACATTTCCGTCACACGCTTGAGGTATTCGGCCAATCATAATGCACTGGATAGCTGGCCAATCAGAGCACACCTTGCTTTTCAGAACGATGAGCTTTGTAAAAAATCTACGCGTTTCAGAAAGGCGGGGCATAGAGGAGAAACAATAATGTACATTATGTGGAAAATAATGTGTTTTTTAACCTTAAACCGCATAAACACATTACATTACACCAAATACACAAAATAATGTTCTTTTTAGCAACATCATATGACCCCTTTAAGGTCTGATGCAAAAGCTAAAGTTTATCATCTCGGTTTCGTTCCCTTCTGAGATCCCCAGAGAGGGAGGCAGCATTGCATATATTCTTTACACGCAGTATAGCCAGAGTATGCATTGCAGAAAGTAAAAAAAATAAAATAAAAAATCCAAGATGGAAGACAAGATGAAACAAATGTTGAATTTTACATAAGTACTTTGATCCTGAAAAGTACAAATAAAAATACCTTAGTGTAAAATTTTTATATATGTAACATTTAAATTGTGTAAGACGCTGCCTTTATTGTGAAACAATAGCTTCTCTGAGATGCTGCATCATGATCACAATTTCCGTTTTATTTTGATTAATTATGCAGCCCTATTTATTTATTTTTTTTCAATTTTCCATTCAATTTCATCAGTTAACTTTTCATCAACTCATGAACCCTGTGCAGTTTACTCACAAACACCCGTTTGTGAAACCCTGAATTAGTGAATATTTATAAAGAAGCGCTATTCTTTGTGAGTTGCTGCCTAGTATGTAGAGCATTTCTAATTAGTCCCTTATGAGGTTATGTTGTGGTTAGGATATGCTGCCTTAGAAGGCAGCTGCCTATGTAGTCAGCAGTGAGGCAGCTCACTAGGTTTGAGAACAGAGCTAGTCATTGCTAGTCCTCTTTAGGCACTCTTTCTGTAGAGTGTGAGGCTGGTGCATCTGCAGATAAGGACAAGAGGTTCATTTGTCATAAAGTCATTTGACATAATATCACCTGTCTGCAGCTTTATTTTTAGGCAGTAAAGAGCAGTGGATCTTAAACAGTCACACAGCACCGCAGGAAGCCAGAATCAGCTTTATAACGGTTGTACCACTCCTTCTCTCTCTTTCTTTTTTTCTTTCTCTCTCTCTCCTTCTATACTGTATAAATGATAAACAGTTAATTTGTGAGGTGGAGTCATGATTCACGGCTGGAGAATGCAGTGGCAGGGGCCATGATAAGAGGTCACAGGGGAGAAAGAGCTCTGAGGAACTAGAGCACTTCTCATACATAGAGCTCATAATGTAACTATTGACAGAGCTGTTGGACTGGAACTTATTCAGTTCCATTTTCAACTGAAACAGTCACAGGACCACTTATAAAACATAAACTGCATGGTAGGGCTGCATGATTGGGGAAATATCTAATTGTGATTTTTCAGATATAATAAAAAATAATAATAGTGTACTATTATTATTATTAAAGAGATTAAACATAATAAGAATTATTACTAATGTCAAACTTTACTATAAAACAAAAAAATTTGAATAGGACCCAAACTTGCAGCACATGCAGTGTTTTTTTTCCCATTTAGTGCAGGCCGCTTTAGGATGCTGAAAACACCCGATCTTGAATTGCTCACGTGTAAATAAACACAGTGCCGCACTTCACTCTGAAACACATGTATTTATTTAAACCACAGCCTTTGCGATTTAATAATCACACCAAGTAATTTCTTGTTATCAGGTTTATTTTGCTTTAATCATGCAGCCCTACCACGTCGTACAAAAGTGTTGGTATGGTTTCTTATTGGTGTTAGCTTGTATTTCTCTCTATTTTTGTTCTGTAGCAGAGCAGCAGCCACCGGCCTGGTCAGGGATGAATCTACTGATAACGTCCTGTACTGCACCTCAGATAGGGCACATATCCTCACACAAACATCCTTTTGTTCCAGACTAACTCATCCCAAGCTGCCTCATTTCTGCACGTATGAATCTGAGCTAAGTAGCATCAGACTTTCTCAGAGATATTAGTGAAAAACAGTTTTATTTTAGTATTCTTTAAATACTGCTTTTATTTTTATCTTTCCGGTTTTCATTTTATTTTTGGTCATTTATGTGCTTTTGTCATTTTTATTAGTTTTTGAGGGTTTTCTTTTTATTTCAGTTTTAGTAATTTTAGGACTTCAACTTATTTTATTTCAGTTAATTATCAAGGTAACATTTCTATTTTTGTTTAAATCTTTTAAGTTTAAAATTTTCAGATAATATTTATGTTTATGTGCTTTATTCAATTATGGAAATGTTAATTAATAATTTCAATAGTTTTAGTTAACAAAAACATCACTTGACAAAGTAGTACCTCGAAAAAACTAAAAGGATACAAAACAACCCAGAAAAAGTCATGCTTCCTTTTTTTCCACTTTAAATTATCGGGTAACGATTATTTTCGGGTAATGAACTGGTAACTTTGTTTTTAAGCTAATCTATGTGCAATGTTTGTTAGATCACTGTTGTTTGTAGTCTTTCCCAGAGCACTGATAAGTTGGACCTGCGCAGGGTGTTGTGTTTCAACCCTATGTCAGTCGCTAAACCCGAGTGGGAGGAGGTGAGTTCGCCTGTGTTATGAGTATATGGTCCGAACCCCCCAGCTACAACACAACCCCCCCACCTCCCGCCCGCTCGACCAGAAAAAAAATTTAACTTAGAATTTTAGTCTAAAATTCAGTCATTTTAAATTTTATAAAGTAAAATTGGCATCACAACATTGTAAAGTAAGAGAATTTAATATTTGGTACACATCTAAAAAAAGATTACATTTTAACAGTGTTTTTAAAGATTAATTTTAAGTAAGAGTTAAATGACGGAAAAGGTCATTTAAATGAAAAACAGAGGAAATAAACATGCACAATTAAATATCCATATGGATTCACTTGTATTTAAAATGACTGATTTTAGTTTTTCCACAGATAACCGATATATGCATTGCATACCTTCTTAAAAGTAAACACACCTACACATTCTTTATCATTATTGTTACCTGGGGTTCATGGGGTAACTGTGGCTGTGGCAGGCGTGGGATTGGCTGGCTGAGGGTGTATTCATGTACCCTGACTCTGGCCGAGTTCCCACTGTTGTTTTTGGGGAGTAATGCTGCATAGGAGACATAGGTGTCCCTGGACAAGAGCTCTTAGATCCTCCTGCTGCTGCTGCTGTTGCTGCCACGGCTGCTCTCTTCTGCTCATAGGCACTGCAGGGCACACAGACACTTTTTCAATAAGTCAACAATGCATTTCTTTCCTGTTACATGCATGAGATCATGTACGGACGTATCTTCGACTATTAACATTTTTTATGTCTCGGGGGTAGATTTTTATAAAAAAAAAAATCTCTGTTTAAATAAGGGTCACATTAAAACTAGAAAAGTATATGTATAGGCTTTTGTTTTATGTTTGACCCAGACGTTCATTCTTAAAATATGAGAATATATAATGTAAATATTTATTAATCATTTTTAAAACCGATAATCTAAACAAAGTGGAAAAACTATTTTTATATTAATGTAAAAACTATAATATTTCTTACACAAATTCTGACCCTCAGATGTGTTCTCATTTTTTATTATGTGTGAAAATATTATTTAGTTGTATTTAATTAAATAAAGTGTGAAATCAGCCTTAGCAAGACAAGTCTGCTGTTTTATTTAATAAATTGTTTAAAATGCTGTTTTAATGCTTAAAATATTGTACATAGGGCTAAAAGTGCATGCAGTAAACCTGTTCACGCCAACAAAGTATGTTTGAGAAAGAAGTATCTAGTGAGAGGCATCAAGCAACAGCATTCAGCTTTTGACTGACCTGGCGTAAAGGCACTGCTCTCCATTGGGGTAGCTGAAGCTCTGCTTGTGACTGCAAGACTGGCTGGGGTCTGAGCCGGGACTCTGAGGCTCTTTCTTGATCTTCACAGGCGGGCTGTGGAATGCCACTGCTGTGGTACACAGAAAAACAGGTTTATTAATGAACCACATTCCAGCTAATTCCTGTCTCGAGAAATGCCAGGCCTTTTGTCTGCACTAAAAATACAACAAGAGTATACAGACAAGAGTTAAGAGATACACATGTATTGCAAATACTTTAATGGGCTTGGTTTGTCCTTAGCCATAGTGAGGGCAATAGATCATGCAAACGTAATCATTTAACTCAAGCACAGTTGACACAGTAAAACGTATTGTGCCCTGGACTCGGCTTCAAAGTAAATCACAAACAATTATAGACAAACATCCACTAGCATAAAAAGTTGCATTAATCAATACTTCCATTAATCAATACTGAAAAGTGGACTTAGCCATTTTAGTTTAATTATTAATGTGCATTAGATTCATAATTATAATTCCCAGATTTTTTTCCCCTCAACCTTTTCAAAGCACAGAGCTGCTAAAAACATTAATTGGCTATGGTTAAATGAGTAAGCCTTTTATAAACACATCAGCAGCTGGTCATTAACAAAAGATTTTGTTGTGTTTCTTCAGCCCAGCTTTTAGAGATTTTGGCATTTAGCTGAGGAGTAGCAGAGGAGTCGCCCGGCATGCGTGGGGTCTGGGTCTGAACTGCAGTGCTGTTTATTATTGGAGGGGAGCAGCCGGGCTCAAAGACGGCACGGTACAGGATGTTTTTCTGGGCCGCTCAGGGTAAACAGCAGCAGCTGTGCTCTTCCAGCTGAGCAGCAGCTCTGTGCTTATGGCTGTTTATGTGTTGATTGTCGTGGGCGCAGGCCTGACAGAACAGGCACTGCTGAAACCCAAGCCCTGGTAATTGCATATTTCATTCACAAAAACAAGAAAAAATGGGGGAAAGGCCTTCCAATACTGTAACACTGCGACACAATGTCCTGCCCTCTCAAAGACAATACTCAAATCAAAAGAGAAAGAGTTGAATATAAAAAGAATGAGTAATTCTTAAACATTCACCCCTATAATGAGTCTGCATATGCAAGATTTATAGATTTGACATTTAAATGCTTTAATAATGTACTGCTCGTTTGATAAATAAGGCTGCATGTACTTTTACAAGTTCATTACGAACATAGAATCACTGTAGACACTAAAACCCACTCTATTAAAGCAATGAATCATTCCACTCTAAATACTCTAAAATGGGATGGAGGACTTCAGGGGGACACCTCGGGAACGTGTAACATTATCAAGACACATCCGTCTGTCGTTAAATCTCCTTGAGTTTACAGACTGATGGCAGTCGAGTAAACAGTGATGTGACAAAGATGGAAGCTCTTGTTCTTTATTTAGTGTAATTTGCCCAAAGCTCTCAGTTTCTGCTTTCTCTCTTTACGATTCATGTGAAATTTACATCACTGTTCACTAAAGCCACTCATATTTCTTAGGTTTTGTTTCTTGGGAAAAAGGAGGGGATAGGGGTTGTGATCCTAAATGTATAATGTAACATCTGTGTTTAGATATTCTTGGTACTGCTCTTGTAAAGTACGTAGTCAAGTGATCAGGAAAGAGACTTAAAGCTTGCCAGAGGCCTTGTTATTATAACGGCTAATATTGAAGAGGAATTCTTGAATATCTTTTTTATTATTATTAATTAAGGACTCCACAACTACTTTATTGTTATCTTCAAAGAGTTAGAAGAAGAAGGGTAAAAAAGGGTGGCCTGGGGCCAGTGTGAGAGAGGTTGGATCATGTTTATGCTTTGTAAACATAAACATTTGGTTTTATTTGATGCATGTATATGAATTTACAGCTGTATAATTTCCAGCTATCATTTGCATTTATCACTTGCAATAATAGCAAAAATATTGTTTTCAGACTTTAAGAAGCAGGTCTGCAATTAAAATGAGCTGTATAATTTTTATTTACATTTTTTTTCTCTTTTTAATATCTCTAATTACCAATTTCAAATATAGGCCCTATATTGATATTAAAGCCTCTGATTAATGAAATCAATACATTCTGTGTGCTCTCTTTTGTTTTATCCCAATATTAAAAAAAAATTTTTTTTTAATTTGGTCTTTGACCTAAAATGAGTTTGACACCTCTGGTGATCGTAATCTGCCACGTAAGGCTATAAACCTGGCAACATATAGATTTAAATAATACTGTCCTTACATACGAGTGCATTTGCATTCACATCTCCCTTCAAGCTACATCTAAGTGTGAAAAACCAGTAGCATTGTACCTAAATGACAAGAGTGTCTCCATTCAGGATGAGCTTTTAGAGACAGGCTGGGCTAGAGGTGGGAGCTGGACTTTACATATGTAAATAGCACGATTCAGTGAAGAGGATAAAGGGTGAAAGGTTATGGTCATGGTTGAGTGCTTTAGGAAGTAGGGGATCATTATGGAAGGCCATTCGGTCAACTCCCACCACAAACAAATTTCAGGACCCCGATACCCCCCTGCCCTATACAAAAAAAAAAAAGATCCACCAGCTGTGACAGAAGGAGTTATGGTGGCCTTAGCTAAGAGCTCTGGGGGATCGTCCTCAGAGTGCGTGTTAAAGTACAAGTAATCACTAATCAATTTGTTTGAATAAAAGTACCATTGTTGAAACTGTGAGCCTTTGAGCTGTGCTTTGGATCAAGAAAATCAGATTTCAGTCACCGTTAAAGCAGGACAACTTTGCTTTTGAGTTAAACCTTTTGATCAAAAGATCATCTGGACAGTATTGTATATTCATGTCAGGCTCACATCCTGGACATTTTCATCTTATGACAGCTACAGTTGAGGCCATCCGTATCAACTCAGCAGGTACAATGTACCAAAGTTTGAGTAATAATATCTCAAGACTATAAGCCTATCATATCGTACCAGAGGAACGTGACTGCTGTGGCCTGTCATCAGATAAAGCACAAATCCTGAGCAGAACAAGTCTTTATGCAAAGAGTGTTTGATAAAAACACTGAAAAAAATTATTATCGTATTGTGTTATTCGGGTGTGATGTGAGTGAATCCTTCATGCGTGTTTGATATTTGAGCTGATGTTGTGATAAAATCTGATTTCAGATAGCAGTCTGCTTAAGAGTGAGTGAAGAGATGCCGCCTGGCGTCCCACTGGCTATTTGAGACCAACAGTGACAAATCAATAAGAACAACAAGGATGCCAATTATGTCTAAATGGCTTAAAGGTTGAAATGGCAGTATTGATTTTGGGCAGCCCACTTAACACAGCTCTCAAAGCTGGCTTGTTTTTTTGAAGTACAGCCTGTCATAGGAAGTACATCATTTAATTGAAGTAAAAATGGCAGGATTGCAAAACAGAAAGTCACTATTATCAGTGGCGGCTCGTGGGTTTTAAAATCGAGGAGGCACACTAATTGTATTGGTCTGGGATCCCTGCCGAATATTATTATTATTATTATTATTATTATTATTTGCTTAACCACTTTAAAATGGCTTTTTGGTTGCTTTTAGTCAGAAAATGTAAAGAAAACAAAGAAAACACAGCAAGATAATATAATTTCACTTACCTGGCCTATCACTTGAAGCAAACATCCATCCCTTCTTAAAAGTCTGTGTTAAAAGAGAGCTGCCTGTTGCGCCATTTAATTAAGCCGACTGCTGTAGCCTATTTATGGAGAAGCTGTGCCTCCCCTGCCTCCCCCGACGAGCCGCCACTGACTATTATAATAATCCAATTAAAAATAAATTTTAGACACCCTTATTGTAGACATTAGCACCGCACCAATATTAAAAGTCCAGCTGATACTGATAAGCTGATAATTACTTGAATGGTCAATATTAATATTTTATACTAATTTGTAAATTAAAATCAAAACACTGAAATTAGAATTTTTTTTATATATATATATTTTGAAAGTCTGTAATGCACACCGTGGCTGCATTGATTTGATCAGAAAATGCATTGATTTGATCAGAAAATGCAGTAAAACAATAATATTTTTTTCAATTAAAATAACTCTTTTCTATTTTAATAAATTTCTAAATGTAATTCATTCCTGTGATGGCAAAGCTGAATTTTCAGCAGCATTTACTCTAGACTTCTGTTTCACATGATCCTTCAGAAATCCTTTTAATATGCTGACTTAAAATCAAGTAACATTTATTAATTAACAGTTGTTCTGCTTAATATTTTTTTGTGGAAACCGTGACCTTTTTTCAGGATTTTTTATCAACAGAAAGTTCAAAAGAACAGTATTAATTTGAAACAGAAAACCTTTGTGACATTATAAAGGTCTTTTTACTGATACTATTGATCAGTTTAATAATGTGTTCTTGCTGAATGAAGTATTACTGATCCCAAACTTTTGGTAGTGTGTATAATGGCTTTGTGAGCATTACGAAGTTGTTTTTCAGCTATTTCTTTCATGGAGCTTTTCATGTTTCTTTCAGGAGCTCTTGTAAATCCACCATCATTGAAATGATCAGTGGAAAGTCCTGGGAGGGATGTGGATGATAGAAAGGACTGTTCTTTCAGCCAGAGGTTTTGCAGAAACAATGCTGTCATCTCAGCACAGTACAGCAACACATGGCAGACATGTTGTGTCCATGTCAACACGATCAGAATGAAAGAGAGCGCAAGCGAGAGAATGCAAACAAAAAAGGATGTTCTGGCCTCTCTCAGATGGTGAATGGCCAGGGGTTTGCCATAACAATTGTACTCTGCTCGCTTGGGTTTGACTGTCACTTCTGAGTGTCAGCGACTTCCCCTTTGAGTTTCAGATAGCTACTGATGGCTCAAAAATTTTTGCCAAACTTGAATGACAAGATAAGTAAAAACCATCAGACAGTCTCGTGTTTAGCTAAATTTTGTTCTCAACATGTCTTTGTTTGAAAACACTTTTGGATGCTTATTGTGTTTAGTGTTTTGTATAGTAAATGTCATGTTGTGATTGGGTGTGGACAAGACTGGCTGACTAGGTCTGAATGGCAAATGACACATTTCTTTTAACCACACGGTATCAGTTCCCTTTATGATAGAATTTTTTTTTTTTTCTGATGACATGCT